GTTTCATCAATCTTTTTCTCTCTCTCTCTATATGTCTTTAGCTTTATTTGTTTGTTCCTCTTTCTGATTTCAGGAGGGTCCGTGGTGGTAGTGGCTGCAAGATTGGTGATGAAAGTGGCAGCTTGTGAGTTTTCTCCTTTTGTCTTTACTCTCTACTTTTAGTAGAAGGAAGAGAGACAGAAACAGAGTAGCTCTGTTTCCACTCAAGATCTCTGATTTGTTTTTTGTCTGTGATTAATCTTAAAGGATGTTGATGTGGGAAGATGGGTTTTGTGGAGGAAGAAATGAAGATCTTTGTCTGGAACCAGACATTGAAGGTGAAGATCTTGTCAGAAAAGCTTTCAGCAAGATGTCCATTCAGTTATATAATTATGGAGAAGGGTGGGTAATGGGTAGGTGTAATTATATAAGTAAACTATGGAGATAATAGTAATTATTAGAGTATATAAACACACACCCTAATCACACAAGTTAGTATTATTATCTTGTGAATCTTTGATATGATTAATGTGCAGATTGATGGGTAAAGTTGCTTCTGATAAATGTCACAAGTGGGTATTCAAAGAACCATCTGAATCTGAACCAAATCTTGCTAATTACTGGCAGAGTTCTTTTGATGCTGTACGTTTTCCTCAAATCTTCCACAAAACTTTTTTTTTTTAATTTTTTTTGGTTAGTTAGATGAGGAATTTATGATCTTGATGTTTACATTACACTTAAAAAGCTTTTTGGCTGGTCAAAATATTTATTGCAGCTCCCTCCAGAATGGACCGACCAATTCGAATCAGGCATTCAGGTCAACAATCAAGCGTCTTTGTTTAACTTTGATTGATTACTGTTCTTTTAGTTTCAGACTCAGTAAAGTTGAAATTACTTTCTTGATCTTACCTTAACACTGTTTAATTTTGACCAGACAATTGCTGTGATTCAAGCTGGACATGGTTTGTTACAGCTAGGTTCCTGCAAGATTGTGAGTTTTTTTCTTCATATGAGGTTTTTTTCGATTTGGCTATACGGTCTGATGAACCGTCATTGTTTTGTTCCTCTAGATTCCAGAGGATCTTCATTTTGTGCTGAGGATGAGGCAGATGTTTGAATCAATCGGATATCGATCCGGTTTTTACCTTTCCCAGCTCTTCTCTTCAAACCGAACCGCGACTCCATCTTCCTCCTCGGTCCCAAACCAGCAGCTTCAGTCTCAGGCTTTTAACTGGGGATCACACTCTCCATTGTTACCTTCTCCTAGTTTTCAAAACCAACTACCTGCATCAACAAGATTCGGTTTCCTTCCAGAAAGCAATGCTCCTCCTCCTCAGATGCTTCCACCAATGGAAGAACACGAAGACGACATCAAATGGCCCAACGGTTTATCTCTGTTCAATGCATTGACTGGCCGTGCAGACGAAGCTAGTAGACTTCTGTTTAACCCCGAGCAAAACCCGATGAATCTCGAAAACCAGAACGAGTTCTTGAGCCTTGAAAGTCATCATCACCCTAACAAGTTTAGAAGAAGCTACACAATGCCAGCAAGAATGGATTCTTCGTCATCATCAACCTCGCTCGATCAACAACCACTGGAGTTTAGAAACAACTCCGGAAGCAACTCGGGTTTGTTCCCTGACGGTATGGAGACGTTCTTGAGGTGATTGACAAGTTCAAGATTTGGGTTTGAAGTCAGATTAATCTTCTAAAAACGATAACGAAAAAGCTTTCAATGCTAGTTTTTAGCTTATTCTGTTTTAAGACAACTCTGTTTGTTGATTCTTCCCTTTGCATCTACTCCTCCTTGTTGTTGTTGTTGTACCATATTGTCTGATTGTTTCTGGTTTTTAAGTCTAAAACTCTTTTAACATTCGAAGATACATTATTGATTGGTTTTCTTAGTCTTAACATAACAACATACAAACACATTATCTCAACTTGAAGATTGATTTTGCGCTTTAACAGTTCCTATCTCACCAACCGTTACGTTCTCTTCCTCTCCGCCTGCAACCGTCGTTGCATCCTCCGTGTCCGTGTTTTCGCTCTTTTCCTTGGCTAAATCCGTGGCTCGTTTCAGCCCTTCTTTCGCAGTATCCTCTGCAAAACTGACTGAAACATCAGGAGCCTTAATTAGCATCTGTACTTTTCCCCATCGCCTCTTGTCTCGCCTCGTTCATACTCGCAGACGACTCTCCTGCACCATCGCTTCCCTGTATAGAGTGTTCCGAGATTCTCTGAGTTACTAAAACGTAATCTCTATAGGTTACAATACAACAACAAAGAACACATGCTTTATGATTCCTCTCTTACTTGAGCAACGAAGCAACGAGAAAACTGAAGAG